TCGCCGTAAGGGACAAGGCTAAATACCATTTTGTACATGAGGAGTACGAGGACGAGCTTAGTACATATGATAGACAAAAAAACTAGCGAGAGAATCTGATAACCATGCCCGGCCCGTGCAACACGGGCAACCACCCAGGTCTGTCAGTGCTGGTAAATACATCACATTTAATACAAATAATCACCCCAGTATTAAATACCGCACGCTTTATTTCTTACAGTAAAACTTTGACTTTGTAGAACCACATGTGAATTTCAGAGTACTCACTTTTTACCCATTCTGAAAGATTTTTAATTTTAGTCGGAGTATTTGTCACATCGCTAAGTCCGCTACGAGTGTTTTCTTTTTCGCTTATTTTTCTGCATCAGTTTTTCTGCTTCCCGTTGCTCGAGCGCTGCGATTACTTTACTGTCAGTCGCAATAAGCCCTGCTTCGGCGCGCAGATTTAAGTTTTCTCTTTTCTGAGGACGTCGCTGGCAGGTTCCTCCACACAATTCTCACTCAACGGTAGGCCCGAAACAACGCTGATACTCGTGAAAGAAATCTCCATCGCAGGTGCAGAAAACAAACTGGCAGGTAGCCGTACGTCGGTGATATTCTCAATTTCTCATCGTAGTACATCTCGCCAGATGAATCTTTATATTTAGATGGTAATTTTATAACATTACTATCAAGAGATTGGTTAATTAATGTCAGTCACTGGTTACTGGAAATTTTGCGGAGAACCAATTATAAACAAAGTTATAAAACCAAAACAAAACTCGCATTTAAATTTCAATACGAGTGTGCGTTACAGTAAATAGCAGACCGTGTTCAGCTAACGGCTGCGTGACGGCGCGCGGCTACCGCCAGCCTAAGGTGGCTGACAGTGTTGCACAGCACGCAAATGGTTATCAGATTCTCTCGCTAGTTTTTTTGTCTATCACATGTACTAAGCTCGTCCTCGTAGTGACTTTTTGATGCGGCAAAATAACAGCGATTTATAATTAGTCAGTCGTAGTGCTTCGGGATATTCAAAACTGCAAGGTCCTAAACGAATGGTCTTTAGGAATCGACACTGACATTGTTCAGTGAGGTCAATCAGCAGCTTATGTTGACAGAAAGCGACAGTGCTCCCGTACTCGGCGATGGGCTTGACGAGTGAGTCGTACAGCTTTTTTCTCGCAGCGGTATTTTGATAATTATGGAAACAGGGCATTCAGGTAGCGGATGCGTTTCCTTATTCGACTTGCTAAGTTTTCACTATGGTATTTCCAGTTAAGTTGACGGTCAAGATAGATACCCAGATATTTCGCCTCTTCCCGCAATTGGTATACTCTCGTTGTTGATAGAGTATACACTACCCTGTAGCTTAGCGCGTCTTTTCGTTCACGTGATGCGAAATAATCTGTATTTTATCGAAATTGACTGTACAAACTTGTCTAGACTGTTGTTTCCTGCTGATTAGTATGACTGTGCCGACATGCTGTCCTGTTGATGAGCTATTTTCGGTTAAACGTTACTCGTTACTCGTTTCGGTTAAACGTTACTCGTTACACGTTACAAACATGCTGCGCCAAAAATGCTTATTATAATTATTAGACAAATTACTCACTCCTGACGTAGCATGCGCTTTATTTTTAGTAAACAGTCGGAGACCCTGACGGGCTAAGCGGAAGGGAAAGGATAAAAGTGCAGAATCTGCACAACCACTCACGTGAACGACAGCATTTTGGGATATCGATTCTGATATCGTGCAGGTTGTACTTTGTACGCATGTTCTTGTTGGAACTGTAAGCTAAATTAGGTAATGACTCATGAGCTGCGTTATCTGCATTTGTTGAAGCCAGCGTTCGCAAAAGCACTTCCTGCTTCAGCAAGTTGTCCGTTGACTCGAACTTTCAAACCATTCAATAAACAGGCAAGCCATAGCACAATAATTTCTCGTAGCTCGGAATTAAGTGATTATCCGTTTGTGATATCGGTTGTATAATATTTTCCAAAACTGCGTAAGTATTGTAGCGATAGAAGTTGTACAACCGTAAGACCACCCAGTTATGATTCATCATTGCGTTATGGATTTCTGTCCATTTTACCGGCTAGCTGTTCTTCTTTACAATTTATTCTTGTCTCAGCTTGCTACAGCTTGCTACTCAAGCTTAATATACACTGCGTGGACAATCTCTCGATTGTGTAGCGGCAGGACGGGATAAGAAAGAGGAATACTGGGATTTAAAATAATTTCGGATTTGTGTATATAAAAGGAATAATAATAGTAGGGGAAAAAAATTTGTGAGTGTATGAAGGACATGAGAGGCTGTGGGTGTTTCTTTACTACAGTTGAGACCTTGAAAATTGCGCGTTTAGTCTGTAACTTTCCATAGGTTTCACAGTCATTTTGGTGTAGTAATTTGTGTAGTAGTAATTTGCGTAGTTAAGAAAGTTGATTGCTTAATGGAGCGAACTACTATGTTTTGCACTGATAGTCTTGGATGTGTAGTAACAGGTGGTTTGTATATGGGATGCAGGCTGGGACGTACATTAAAAGGTTGTTCGAGAGAATGTTTGGTTTAATTGGTTTGTTGACTGGATTTTTTGAGTTCGGTGGGTATATTAGAAGTTGAAGAACGTTGTGTTTGAGTTATTATGGATTTGGCAAAGTATATGCAGTAAGGAGAATGTTTTTCTTGTTGGTTATTTTCTGGTGGCCGGTTTAGATTTTCGGAAGCGTACTGATTCAGGTTGTTGTGTTTTGTTTGGCTTTAATCTTTTTAGGTTGAGTATAGTTTAGCAAGTTTGCTTTCATAGAAAGTTTCTTTTAAGTATTGTTTTTTTTGATAAAATAATGGAAACTGGTTGTGATTGCAAGAAATACATGCGTGAGTATGTGCGTGATTATAGAGAAAAAACCGCAAAACAAAAACTGATGGTAATTGTAGCAAGAAAGATAATGAAGTAGTGATGATGTTAGACATGAAAATGTGAAGTTAAAAAACAAAAATGTAAACTTAACAGGGTCAGCAAAACACAACAATTTAGGACCAAATCGTAAAGTAATGCTTAAGAAAAGAGCCGGACAACCACTACACATTACCATACTCCGCAAATGTCGTTTAGCACGTTCCCTTTACAAAATTGTCCAATAATTGTCCAAAAATTCTCCAATAATTTTTTCCAAACATGCCAGAAAACGCACCACCTTTAGTATTCCGATTACATTTTCGTTTTTTAACTTTTACATTCTCATATCTAACATCATCGCCACTTCCCACATTATCCTCCCTGCTACAATTACCATCAGTTTCGATTTTGCATTTCTTTCTATAATCACGCATATACTCACGCATGTATTTCTTACAATTACAACCACCTTCCATTATTTTATTAAAAAAAAGATTCTTAAACGAAAATAATGTATGAAAGAAAACTTGCTAAACCATACTCAACCTAAAAAGACTTACCAAAGCCAAACAAAAAACAGCAACCTGAATCAGTAAGTATCCACAAATCCACACCGGCCACCAAAAAATAACCAACAAGAAAAACATTCTGCTCACTCCATATACTTCGTCCACTCCATAATAACTCAAACACAAGATTCCTCAACTTCTTATATACCCACCGAACTAAAAAAATCCAGTCAACAAACCAGTTAAACTATACATTTTCTCGAACAACCTTTTAATGTACCTACCAACCTACTTCCCATATACAAACCACCTGTTTCAACACATCCAAGACTATCAGAGCAAAACATAATAGTCTGCTCCATTAAGCAATCAACTTTCTCGAAATTTCTTGAATTTTCCATAATAATCCATCACTATCTACAACCCGCAACACACTCCATTTCCTGTAACACTTCATTAAACACTCAAATACGAATAACCAGAAATTCGAATATATTTATACCATACTACAGTAAAAATCCTTTTTTCTTCACCCAAATTCAATGTAGACCCTTTCTTCGCTACACTCGATTAGTACACCCTTTCTTCATTATCACTTTTCGTCAAACAAATCACCTTTAATATAATTTACTATATTATTAAATTCTCTATTCAGCACTTTATATTCCTACCCGTTATAATCTCCACATACAATATGCTCCTGCAATGTACTCCTACATTATGTAGGAGCACATTGCAATATGCTCTTACATATGTAGGAGCACATTGCAATGTGCTCCTACACATTACAATGTGCTCCTATATATATGTGCTCCTACATATGTAGGAGCACATTGCAGGAGCATATTGGATTACGTTTGTTTGGATACTACAATTCCGTTTTTTCTCCTCCAAGAACCGATGAAACCGATGCAATGTGCTCCTGCATAATGTACGAGCACATTGCAAGGTGCTCCTACATAATGTAGGAGCACATAATGTAACCTAAAAAAGATGCCGAACTAATAACGCCATCTACAACTTTCACGCATCGTTACTCGACTCATGTCACATGACTCATGTCACATGACTGTTAGGCCCCACCGCTTCCTTCAACCGGCCGGAACCTTCCGTACTTTACGGGCGCCAAAAATTACTTTTGTTTACACACGGATATCGAAGACCAAAAACCGAAACTACAGTTTCCTATATGCTACGACTGATTCTAGTCGTATACCGCATATAAGAACCTGTCACGGTTCAATGAACCTGCCGCAAAACATTGTTACAGAAGCAGCCAATCTAAAATCAAATGGCATTACTGCCTTCTTATCTCGCGGAGTGCCAACCGCCCCAGGATGACTATCAATAAAACTGCTGCCAGCAAGGATGTGCTGTTTGGAGTATTATTGCAATACGGAGCTGAGTCAGACCGACTCAGACGTTAGGCGGCATCCATAAATTACGTCACGCAAGCTGGGGGAGGGGGGAGGTCCTGAAAGCGTTACTGTTGTTACAAAGGGGGAGGGGGGTATTAAAAACTTTGTTACGATTCTGATGTCACTATACTATATCTATGGAGGGTTTCTAAATTTGTTACGTAGCGCTCTGGGGGAGGGGATCTGAGTTTGTTAGCACTTAGCACTGGTGACATAGGGGGAGGGGGGTATCAAAATGTCGAATTTTCGCGTTACGTAATTTATGGATGCCGCCTTATTCAATAAATTCACGTTACAGTAAAATACTTAGTTTACATTGTTTTCGAAACCGATCTGTAAAATTTGATCCCCTACTTCCATTACGTCCCTGTGGGCTTCTAGTGCTTTGAAGTGATCAGTTAGCCGAGAATGCACCTGTACAGAGAACAGCACCGCCAGTATGAACCCGTACACCAGTGGAACTCGGTGGACGTGCTGACAGACAGCGGACTCTTCCAGCACGGCGAAGTGATCAACGTGGCGGAGAACGGGCTGATCGTGGATTTCCACTGCAGCGGACAGCGCGCGCAATTCGTCAGCTTCGACAAGATCTTTGACTCTTCCGAGGCCCCGTGTTCCGCGCCGTACGAAGACTGGCATCGCGAACTGCAGTGGAATCCCGCCCTGACGGAGAATGCCAGTGTGCAGGTGCTGTGCCGTCCGCACCCGGGGGCCGCCTGGTTGTGGTACCCAGCACGTCTCCTGCAGCGTGCCTTTTTCTTCCCCTTCGATAACATCGGGATGGTGTGGGCCGCCGTCGATGCGGGCGATCGACCGCTGACGGAACTGCTCCCTGCGGATCAGGTGCGTTCCCCGCCATCCGAACCAATGATGACCCTGCCGTCGGGCAGCTTTATCGTGCGAGTATGCCGTTTACCGGTTGATTTCTGGGCGACCACGACTTTTCTGGCAGCGGACCATTTCCATCAACAGCTGGAGGGGCAGAAAGTGGGCGTTCGGGTGCTAGTCATTCTGCGTGAATCTCTGCGGTATCTGCAGCGCACTGACGACAAACCGATGACCGATGAGGAAGTGGTGCGTAAACAACTTTTATTATTTTAATTTATTATTTCAGGTAGTCGGGGTTAGGTGCAATAACTGTACTGTTCGCTCGCCGCCAGTGGCGAATTTAAGGGGTGTCATGGCACCCCCAGCTTCAGGATTTTACTGCTTCAAAAACATAAAAAAAATCAGTAAAACCATCATTGAAGAATTACAGTTGTTTTTTTTAAAATACGTGCATTGTTTTTTAAAATACGTGCGATAATACATAATCCCTTATAAGTAATAATTAGCAGAATACACCGCGACTTGAGAAATTATAATTTTTCTAAAAAATAGAGAGAGAGAGAGAGAGAGATACACACTGAGCAGCAACGTACAAGTATCTTGCGATTTTCTTGACACTTCCAAATCCAGTCACAACTGCCCCGAAAGCGCTCTAACCCGCACCATCGGCATTTTTGTGCATGCCTAAGGGATTTATATGATAGTCCTTTTTTCAGAAGCCGTGCCCCTAAGGTTGCTCTTGTATGCATCCTGACAGAAGCGCAAGGGTCATAGGAAGAAGTCTGATCTGTAGGAAAATACTTCACAGTTCTCTTCCGAGTTACTATCTGCTTTTTTGCTGAATATCTTGCACTTTTCGAGGAAAACTCATTTTTATTAAAAATGGTTGCTCTTCTCTCGTGTAATGATAGCGAAAATAACTGCGCGTGGTTTTGCAGCGCAACATATACGAGTCGAGCAAGGAAAAATTCTCCGAGCAGCAGGACACTGGGGCACAGAATAGTCCTGGACTGTTGCAGCCAGCTGTACTGGAAACGAGTCGCAAGCGCAAACATCCTGACGACCCAGCCCAACCGGAAGTAGAATGGGTGTTGCCAACAGCACCCCATCTCTTGTGCGAGATCTTCCACTCACTGGACAGCATCAGCCGCGTGAAGCTGCGCCGTGTGTGTACACTGTGGAACGCCCTGCTAACCGGCGCCGACAGCGGACGGGTGGTGCGCATTACGTTTGCGCTGAAACCGTTCTTCCCGCTGGATAATTACTTCCGAGTGCTGGGCGCCGTCGCTGGGTTGTTAAAGTGCACCACGGCATCCACGGACCGCATCATCATCGAGCATATGGTGGCAGAGCATGTCGATGCTGCCCTGGTGCTGCTTAAATCCTTGCTCAAGAACCTCCGACTGAAGCAGCTGATATTCCATCATGTGGAGATGGACTGGGATGACACCTTTGAGCACGAGTACACCGACAGCGGTATCCTGGCCGTTCCGGTCGAGGAGTTTGTCGGGCGGGGTAAGAAGTGCGTCCGGCGTCTGGCCAAGGTACTGAGGAACTGGGCGTCGTGTTGCGATGAGCTGCACCTCCATCGGTGTGTGTTCACGTGTATCGAAGGCAAAATGACCGCGAGTATTCCGGATGCGAGGATTAAATTGGATGCAGCGGATATTGAAGCGCAGTTCTGGGAGCTCTATGACGCGAATTTGTCCCGCGACGGAATCAACCTAGAAGAGGCGGCGGAGTGGATACGTACCGGATCGGAGGCGCTTCGCACGATGGTGGCGCGGGTAAGGCCCACAGAGCATTTTTTTGTTGATTTTGTTTCTGGAGACATTTCTGACTGCTTACTGAATGATAATTAGTCTGTACTCGGTTGTTTTTCGTTAAACATTTTCGTTGACTTATTAGAAACAGGTCACAAAATTACAGTACACGAACAAATACCGTAAAATTAATCTTAATTTGTAATTTAATTTTACTTACTTTTAGGCACTTTTAATGAACTTTATCGAAGTGTTTCGATAAAGTTCATTAAAAGTGCCTAAAATTAAGTAATTTACCGCTATAATATTTTATTTAAATGACCTGAAGTCTGGAAGCAAAGAAAACTGATTTATTTTATCTTAATTAAATGAATCGTTTTTCCTAAAAGGAATGTCGCCGGAAACGGAAAACATAGCAGAAGTGTTTTTGTTATAGGCTGCTTACATTATCATTTCAGTTTTCCACCTTTATTTCTGTTTTAGATTAGTAAATGAACTTACAAGTTGAAGTTTCCTTTCGATTGCAGTATCTGGTGGATTGGCAAAGCCACGATCCGCGATCGACGACGCAGTATCGCGATCGTGAGTGGACGGTGGATAATCTGCAAGATCTGGATGTGTCCAGGCTGACCACCATCACGCTGCATGCTTTGAAGGAACGCCTTCCGGAGGATATGGACGAAATGAAAAACTTGGATTGATGGAAAATGTGTCGGCGTTTGCTAAGATGTGCAAGCAGTTACAGATGCCTGACCTCTCCAATGGAATTTTCCCACTGTTACTTGACTGTGCCGTTGAATGAGGTCGATTAATTTGTTTTGCCTCTGCCGTTATCATTGGTTTCTCGCATTTCCGATCAGCAGCAGTTTGATTTCGAACACGTTCAGTTTCCGAGCTGTTTTTAATAAAGAATCTTCTTTAGCATTAACGCACTTGATTCTAAAAATCTGGGAACGGCTATCAGAAAAAAATCGTTTTTCAATGTTCGTTACACTTTGATTGAATCAGCGAACGAATATCGGACAAGGTTGCGTACGAATATCGGACAAGGTTGCGTATAAAGTTTATTGGGTTAGTCACATTAGTATAGTACAACGTAGACTGAACGCTACGTACTGGATTGCCTTTCCGGCGGCCCAGTCGCCAAATTATCCGTAACTGTAATCACTATGATGGTGTAGAAGTAACGAGGATAAAGGGAACGCAACAACAACAGGTTTTGGCAGTAGTTTAATAACGTTCGGTCGATCGATCGGTCGTTTGTAAGAAGTCGTTAGAATGGAATTGAATCTCTCGTATACAGTAACAGACTGCCATTTTATAGGCGAAGAAACAATGAGTGTTTAGGAAGGCTAAATGAAATGGGATAGGTTTTTTTGATTTAAGATTACACTCAAAAAGTTTACACTTTACACTCACACAGTTTACTCATACAACACTTGTACATTATTAGTCACATACGCTATAATAGGTTAACAACTTAACAGTAAAATTACGCAGGTCGTCATTTCAACACATTATACACTTTGTCCAGTCTTTTACCGATACAAAACGTTTCCTGAACACATGCAGCGTTACCTCGCATTAAAGCAACACTGATTCGCTGCTTCAGAAATTGAGTAGACCGTTTCTCCTGTGTTCTCATAAAAAGCACCTTACCGAGTGTAGAGATCTTACATTTAGCTTCTTTAGCCCACACACCCATTGTTCAAAAACCAAAGCAGAGAAAATAAAGTTAACCCGTAAATAACCGTGCTTCTGGCTTTTTCTTCGCTTCTGCCATGGTGGCCGCCGCACCGGCTTCCTAGGATGTCCTCGCAGTGTACGAAATGGCCATGGTGTCCGGGCAAGTGACATCCCAAACCCAAGATTTTCCCTGGCTGAAGGGGACCGAGGTCATGCCGTCTGGTCGGTTCAAAAGTATCGCGATACAGGCCCCGTGGTTCCAAAACTGACGGGATACTGGCCGAACCACACGCACAACGGCACAAGGTGATTCTGAAAAGGACAAGCGCTTTGTCGACTTGTCGCCAATTTTGACACTTGGCAGTCATTTGTCGGTTATCAACCGCTTATTACTCGTACTTCGCAGCATTATCAAGATGCGATGGAATGTGAAAATAATCAACTAGAATCGAATCGTCGTCATTCGTCATTTCGACTTTCTTTTTTGGATGCGCTCTTATCTTTATCGCATCCATGATCCAGCTCCGCCACGTTAATCACTTCGCCGTGCTGAAAGAGACCGCTCTCGGTCAGCACATTCACCGAATTCCACTGGCACACAGGAGAACTGGCATCGGCAAACTGTTTTCCTCCATAAAGAAGCATTTTCAATTGGTGAACATAAAGTCCTCACACTTGAAGAGACCAGACTTGGAATCCCTTTGGGGTTGTCTGCTCTTGTGCCGTAATGATAATAATAATAGTTACCAGATCTGTTTCAAAGCAAAAGACTGCGCTGGAACGGTTTCATCATGGACTTCCACTGCAGCGGACAGAAAGCGCAATTTGTCACCTACGAAAACATGTTTTACGCTTTCGTTGCCCCGTGCTCCGAGGGGTACCGAGATTGGCGTAATGAACTGCGCCGAAACCCCACGGTGAAGGAAAACGCCAGCGTGCAAGTGTTATGTCGAGCGCATCCGAATGCTGCATGGATGTGGTACCCGGATCGCCTTGTTAACAAGGCCATGCATGTTCTTTCTCTGTGGGCAAATCGGTGTCGCGGAAGTTCAGATTGAAGAGCAATAACAAGCGGAAGTATTCCCTGTGGAGCAGGTTCGTTTTCCGCTGTGTGCGACAGATCTGGCTGGGCGAGCGCTGAAGCCGAAGGCCTTTGTGTTGCGGGAGTGTCGTCTGCCGGAGAATTTTTTGTCGACCGTAACGGCGGGAATCGCCGCTTGCTTTCGCGGGCGAATTGAGGCGATGGGGGCCATGGGCGTGTGCGAATTGTTTCGGTTCAGAGCCAGGTGTTGACGTATCTGCAGCTATGGGATAGACAACCAGTGATGGAAGAAGACGTGGCGCGTAAGAAACGCTTTTGAGAAAATTAAAGTCGCAGTTGTAGCAAACATGGACTGCAGAGATTGTGCAAAACGGACGCATACAAAATTAATAAAAAACATTCCGATTCCTGGTTATCCATTTGCTATTTATAAAATTAATAATTCTTATCACGTTAGTTTATGTTTTTCTCTACTTACTTTTTATTATGTGCCTGTATGTAATTAATTTACTTTTTGACTTTGCTCGTTTTTTAAAATTACTTATAAGTTATAATTATACTAGAACCAACGGTCTTTTAGAAGTCTATTTGTTTCTTTTACAGTACCTTGTACTCTTTTTGCCTTTATGTTTGACAGGACTTTGCGTAAGAGATGGACGTCAAAACTGTCAGAATCAGCAAGCGCAAAAATCCCGAAGACGATAGACAGTCTGAGGCGGAAGGAGGGTGTTTATTGCCAGGAGAGAATCATCTCCTGCGTGCCTGTTGCTGGGAAGACGGGTCGCAAGCGCCAAAAGCCTGACGACGAATACGATGCCCAATGGGCATCGAACGTCGGACGTGGACTGGGTGTTATCAACAGCGCCACGATCTTTCACTCTCAGGACAGCAAAAGCGTCAGCCGCATAAAACTGCGTCGCGTCTGTCTGCTGTGGAATACCCTGCTGACCGGAGCCGACAGCGGACGGACTGTACGCGCTCCCTGTGCGATAAGCCCATTCTTCCCACAGGAAAGGCGGAATTTCGCCCAAGTATTTGGCACCGTCGCCGGTCTGCAACGGATCACAATCGAGCATATGGTGGCGGAACACGTTGAGCGTGCTGTCAACGAACGCTACCCGGAAGATGTGGAAGAATAATGGAATCGCTGGATTAATGGCGAATTCGATGTGTTTTTCTCAGATGTGCAAACAGAAGGCATCAAGTTGAAATCAACTATCGATTATCGAAGCCTGACCTCTCCAAACAGATCTGCGAATCTATTACTGGACTAGATCCATTGTTTTGTGAATTTATTATGGAGACGAATGATTTATTTTGCTTGTTAATGGTTGTTATCATGAGTTTCTCGCATTTCTGATAAGTACTTCTAGGCGTTCTAGCAATTTGATTTCGAAAACTTCCAGTTGCGAAACTGTTTTAAATAAGGATACTTTTTAGCATAAACCCATCTGAATCTAGGAATAGGTATCGGAGAAAAAGCAATTTTAAATGTCTGGTGCATTAAATCAGGGAACAAATACCGAACAAGGCATTTCTCCCAAAAACCAGCGGAACATTTGGGTTTGTCGACAATTTTGCCACCAAGGTGACAATGCGCAGTATCCAACCACCCCTTGTCGGCAGCGACCCTTGATTCTGGCTGCCTTGTCACTTGTCAGTTCGAAATTTCAAATTTCGAATCAGTGGAATCACTAATACAGTAAGTCTCGTCAGTTGTCAACCGTTTTATATACTCGCAACTTCGCAGCAGCAGCCAACTTGAAAATCATAAGCTGAGAATCGAATCGTCATCATTAAACATTTAACAGTAAGATGAGTGACTTTGTCAAATTATTTTGATTTTCTGTTTTGGAAGTGCTTTTGTTCGCCTCGCATTCAGCGCGGTTTGTTGTTTTCGAAGCCTTTGTCTGCATCAATTGAAAATGCATCTTTACGGAGGAAAACGCTTTGCCTATGTCAGTTCTCCGGTGTACCAGTGGAACTCGGTGGATGTGTTGACGGAGAGCGGACTCTTCCAGCACGGTGAAGTGATCAATGTTGCGGAGAACGGGCTGATCGTGGATTTCCACTGCAGCGAACAGCGCGCACAGTTGGTCAGCCACGACAAAACCTTCTACGCTTTCGTTGCCCCATGCTCCGCGGGTTACCGAGATTGGCGTGACGAACTGCGGCGGAACCCCGCAGTGACGGAAAACGCCAGTGTGCAGCTGCTGTGTCGAGCGGATCCGGGCGCTGCGTGGCTGTGGTACCCGGGTCGCCTTGCCAGCAAGTCCATGTTTTTTTCCTATGGCAACATCGGCCTGGTTGTCGCGGAGGTTCAAATAGAAGGACAACAACAAACGGAACTGTTCCCCGTCGAGCAGGTTCGTTTTCCGCTGTTTGCGGCAGATCTCGTCGGATGCTACCGGATGCCTTCGTGTTGCGGGAGTGTCGTTTGCCGGAGAATTATGAGTCGACCGTCCCGCCGGGAATGACTGCTGGCTTTCGTGGGCGCATTGAAGCCACGCTGCGTGCGCGTGTTGTGGCGGTTCTCCGCCAGACGTTTACGTATCTCCAGCGAGGGGATAGACCACCAGTCAGGGAAGAGAAAGTGGTACGTTAGGAATTGTTTTACATTATAAAATAAAACTGTAACTTATAAGTACGAATAAAAAGTGCTCAAAATACCGTCCGTGGGCTGCAATGAATGAGCGAAACAGCCGCATGCATGCCTCTTAATGTTTCCTGCCATTTGATAATTCCGTTTGAGTAATTTCTGCTGCTATATCGTCTGTAGAACTAAAAATTGATAGTTTTCTGCATATGCTTGAAATCATAAAATTAGAAATTACGTTTTTTTATAGGGTACCCTTATAGGCACCCCTAAAACCCCTGTTTATTGTAGGCACCCCTTCTCACACCCCGTTTATTATAGGCACCCTTTTTTGAATTAAAAGTTAAAATAATATTATGTGAAAGGAATATAATTCACATATTCCAAAAAATTATTTTATCATTTTATATTAAGTACAAGATCTATACTACGCGCGGCGCCCCATAGTTTTGAGATCTCTATAACCATAAAACTTCTGGAAAAACGGACAACGCCATTAGATCCGGGATAGTTCAGAAGTGGCCGGCATGTGCTTTTTTATGAAAATATCGAGCCGGTATCAAGCCGGCATCAAGACCAGATTGATCCAACCCATCTTAAAGGTCACCTTGAAACTTAGAAATATTTGCCTAGATACAATACAAAATACCAATTGACATAATTATCACACTAATTAAACCGAAAAATAAATAAATTATTGTACTTATTCGAACACTCGCGTTATTCAAACATTGTTGCCGAGCTCGAAACACGTTTAAAATCAACCGATATAAAATATAAAAATATCAAATATAAAATCAATACGAAAAATCACTGGACGAGTGAGTGACCGAAACACTATCACCGACCACTGAGCGGAATCTCTAGATGAGTGGGTGACCGAGCTACCACCACTGACCAGTAAGAAAAATCCCTAGACAAGTGAGTGACCGAAACACTATTACTGCCCACTGAGCGGAATTTCTACTAGGTGAGTGAGTCATCGAGCGGGCTTTGCTCTTGCTCACCTAACGGGCTCTGTGCACTGGACAGTAGTTGTAGCAGGGTCACATCCTCACCTAGCGATTTTTCTCCTTACCTAGCGATATTTCTTACTGGACAGGTTGAGCTCGGTCAGTCACTCACCTAGTGATTGAGTGCGTCAAAAAATCGCTAGGTGAGTACGTGACCGAGCTACCACCACTGTCCGGTGCCCAGAACCCGTTAGGTGAAAGAGTACCGAGCTACCACTACTGTCCAGTGCACGAACTCCGTTAAATGATCTAATGAGCGAGCTAGCACTACTGTCCAGCGCATAAACTCCGTTAAGTGATCTAGTGACCGAGTTACCAGTACTGTCCTTTGCATAGATCCCGTTATATTAGGTAGGTGGGTGACCGAGCTGCCATAGCTATCCAGTGCACAGAGCCCGTTAGGTGAACGTATGACCAAACTGTATTACTGAGCAAAATAGAGCAGGGCCTGCTAAGTTCTTAATGGGTGACCTATCTAGCACCACTGTCCAGTCTTAGCGTCCTTTTAGTTTGTAATGTGATACTCTCGTGGGTGATTTGATTCGGATGGGTTTTCGCTAAGAAAATTTAAAAAAAATGATCTGTAAAGTCAAAGTAATTGCGTTCGACTGCACGAAACCAAAACATCCATTTTTTAATAAAATTTTTGTTATCGGGCTCTTCAGATTTATCCGTTCTAAGTTAACAATCCGTAAACCGGCCAAGGAGTTTAGAACCCAAGAAACGCGGAGGCGAAGCCGAGGCTGTTTCTTGTAGTTGCTATGACCGTAAAAACTTACTTTGGACAAAAGGTCATTGTAATATGGTTATCAAGGAAATCAAGGAAAAGATCTATATTACAGCGGAATACCCCGTACGATCTGGTCAGAACAAACCACAAAATCAATCGAAAAACTGCTAACGCCATTCGATTCAGCACGTCTGGAAACTGTGTCACATGCATTTTGTTTTGGTGTTATCCGCTCCGGCTCCCGTGCACAGGCGCCGGTGCCGGTAGAGCTGCAAACTCAAGGCGATCTTGAAAACCATTTCAGAGTCCTGTTGCATGGAGCAAAAAATCAGCTACTAGAATGTTACTAAATAAGTGTAAATTTTGTTCTCAGTTCTGATTTCTAGGCAAGCATTGACAGTAGACATTCACTTCGTTTACTTTCTTTTTCCTTTATGTTTAACAGAATGAGGCGTACGAGATGGCCGTCGGAACCGTTAGAGTCAGAAACCCCAACAGCCTCGAAGTGCAGTCCGAAGGGGGGTGTCTGTTGCCAGCGGAGAATCACCTCTTACGCGCGATCTTCCAGTCATTGGATAGCGTCAGCCGCACGAAGCTGCGTCGCGTGTGTCCGCTGTGGAATGCCGTCCTGACCGGCGCCGACTGTGGCAAAACCGTGCGCATTTCCTTCGCAGCCAGTCCGTTCTCCCCCATCCAGGCGGGGAATTTCGGCAGGGCGTACGGCGCTGTCGGTGGGATGCTCAAGTGCGTTAATAATTCGACGGAACGCCTGATCATCGAGCATCTGCGTGGCGCGCACGTGGAGAGTGTTATGACAGTGATTCGGTGGATACTGCGGCATGTCCGAATTAAACAACTGGTTTTTCATCGCGTGGTATTCAACTGGGTTAGTAGTGCTCTATCAGAAGATGTTGGGGAGGAGGCGATGATGCTGCCACCGGTGGGTGTCCGCCGTCTGGCGGTAGGCCTCCGCGGCTTGGCGCCATTCTGCGATGAACTGCGGATGCGGCAGTGTGAATTCAACTGCACTGCACGGATGAAGGCCGTTATTCCGCCGGTGAGGATTCAGCTGGAAGCAGCGGATATTGAAGCGCAGTTCTGGGATTTGTACGAGGCGAACCTGTCCCGCGACGGACTGAATGTGGAGGAAATGGCCGAGTGGATTCGCAGCGGATCGGAACAACTTCGCACCATGGTTGCTCAGGTAAAATCCGTTCAACGAGTGAATGATAACCTGAACTGGGACGACGTTTCTATGCAGTCAGAATTTATGGTATTCATCGCGAAGTAAAATTTGCCTGGCTTGAAAGGTGTCAGTTCTGCCGGACTTGAAACCCATAACGGAATTACATTACTGTCGATTAAATCCTAGAATTATATCGCATTTTATTATTTGATCGAAAAATGAATGCATGTCAGTCAAAGTTGCTGTCTTGTAGTCTGTGGAAGACTGGCAAAGTCACGATCCGCGATTGACAACGCAGTATCGAGGTTATACGTGGACGGTAGAGAATCTCCATCAGCTGGATGTTTCCAAGCTGACCACCATGACGATGCGTGCTTTGAAAGATATTCTCCCCGCCGATTATGCATTTTTGCAACGTGGGGACGAGGACGATGAAATTGTCGAAGATCACTGATAATTTGTGCTGTTGAGGGTATCAGCTACTTGGTGTCTCACGTTTTTCGGTTGGTTTTGGTAAATGAAACGACTTCTTTAGTCTCACATGCTGGATTGTTCATAATTTCATTTGATAAATCTTGTGTGTATTTCACGATTGAGCCGGATAGATGCGTCAGCCATCATGTTGGGTGCTTTTTATATCCAAAAGACCACATTAGGTAAAACCGGCTATCCGCAGAAGTAAGAGCGTGTCCTTGTAGGCGTGACAAAAATAGGAATCGTGTGTCAACTGTTTTATTAGCTAATTAGCGGCACTCTTTCTTGTATTAACTCTTGTGTTGTAACTCTTTCTTGTATTAATCTGTTATGTTTCGATACATGGCGCCTTGTGTTTGATTTGACCAATAAAAAATTCCCATTAGCGGCATAATAAATGGTTCAATTTGGTGTTGCACTCATCTCAGCTGTTGCAACTTGGCGGCGTGGTATCCTGAGATGATTTGTATTTCCCCAAAGGACGTTACTAAGCTTGCTGTCCGGCATTCGACGGGGCTCACTGCCCACACAAAAACACATTAAGGGGGCTAGTTTACGTAGCACATGCCACACACAGAAACAAATAGGTGGGTAGTGGTTGCACATTCGTATGAATTCTGGATGCAATGGAACACTTCGGGTTGCAGCCCGGTTTAACAGATGCCGTGTCTTTCGATATTCTAGCGATAGAAGTTGTACAGCCATAAGACCACCCAGTTATGATTTATCATTGCGTTATGAATTTCTGTTCGGCTAGCTGTTCTTCTTCACAATTTCTAGAATTCAGTCTTGCCTTCGCTTGTTACAGCTTGCATCAGCTTGTTCCGCTTGTTATACCCTTGCCTAAACAGGGAGCAAGGTTTAGGCTAAACCTTGCTCCCAGTTTGCATTGTCCTTGTCATTAAACATGCCGTGAACTTCCGTTGCTACGTTCAGTGATTGTGTTACGTCAGTAAGAGCGTCCACGACCGCACCGTTGCCGGTTGTGCCAACCTTTCATCCCAACAGCCCACACAACATCGTGGTACGGTCAACACGCCAACCCACTAGAACAGCAGTCAGATCGGCTACTGTTACAATATCGTGCAAGTGTCTATGACGGACATCTGCTGGTACTGGGAATACTGGCGTGCGGGTGGTTATGATTATGAACACACTTAAGTAACCGCAAATTATCCGCAATAGACATTCAGAAACTTTTGCACAGTATAAAACCAATGTAGCAGCCAATCGGCAGAGCTTCTATTTTTCGAAGTTACTGTACTGTGCGCGTCAGATGGATTGGTCAGCTTCAGCAGTACGTATGGTTGGCAAACTCAGGGCACCGAAAACAAGTTTTTAGCTGACAAACAGCGGTTTACCGCTGACAAACAGTTTATAAGGGAAGAGAAGACAAACGTCGCAGTGACCGAAGCGGTATGAAAGCAAGCTGCGCTACCTATGAAGTTTGGGTATGTGGCGTACGCTGCTTATGCCTCATCTTTACACGAAGTGGTCGACATATTGCGCAGTATTGTCGGTACGGACTCGGCAGTGACTCCTTCCAAGAATAATGTGCGCTCCTAACCGAATTATGGACGAATGGCTATTCGCTTGAAGTCCCCGGTCCGAAAGTCGCCGGTTTCAGTCAGCTTGGACAAGTTGGACAGCAGCGCAGCAGACCAGAACAGTGACCCGGATGATGGAGAACGCCGACCTACTTACCCGGCGTCTTTTGTTGGCAGCATCCTTACCGGAATCCCACGCATGACGCATCGGAATCCTTATCGCGCATCCCACGCTAGCTTCATTGCCAGTCTCAATTTTGGAGGATGCTGATTTAGGCTCGGCAGTGGTTCGACGATTGGGAGCCTCAGTATGCCGACAGTACGTGATGTCACTGCGGAGGCACCGCGAACAATTTCGACCACAACGGTCTGGTATGCTAGCTGGGCAAAGGATGACACGGTACTTATGACCTGTTGAACGCTGCAGCAAGAACCCTGCATTTCGCCTGAATGCCGTCGACGCTTGAGCAAACGGGACTGGATAGAGCAGATGAAGGAGACGGCCGGACGGAGTTACGGCTTTCCCTTGGCGCAATGGGAAAGCCTTAGTACAGGAAATCACTGCTGTCAATACGTTCGCCCAAACCTTCATAGGTCATAACTTAAAGATCAGGTGTTTCAGGAAACGCAGCGGAAGTAAAAGAGAATCAGAAGTGACGGAAGTACTACGCACTCGCAGATCGATACGTAGAACAACCTCTGGCAATTGAGACTACGGGAACTTTTGCAGCGCTAACAAAGAAATTTTTTAAGGTTTGTCAAGGAAGATTTGCGAATGTTGCGGATCAATACTGAGATACAACGCGGAAGCGCAGTGTCTGCCCTCGGAACATTTAATGATAATATAAGAGACAACGAGGACGTTTTTTAGCTTTTAGAGTGGCAGATCGGGAATGAAAATTCTCGATGTTGTTATTGCTGTGATATTTTTGTTTTTGCTCGATATGCTTTGCTGTGACTTTGTTCAGGTCATACTCGTAATAATAATTAAAACACCGTCTAGTTTATAACTGCCGGGCGAAGTTTGCGCACTCCTCAGCCGCCCAAATCCCAATACGGTGCGATGTAAAGGCATTTACACTTTGACGTTATCTTGTTTTAGTCATTCTTTAGTCTTTATGTAGTACTCTATACTCTTTACTACTGCATTTTGGGATTTTTGAGGCTTGGTTTGCACCGTCTTGGATACAATTTTCAGTGCTGAAATATTTTGCTAGTTTCATTGTATTTACCCTCTGAATCCTTCCAAGTTCCAATACTTAAGTATTTGTTACTTTTTCGTAGTTTCTCTGCTTTCGCAGCTATCTGCTAGTTACCTATTAGTTAAAGATGTTCCTCTATGAAAACAAGTCCGTTGCATGTCATCCTGTTTACCAGTGGAATTCGGTGGATCTGTTAACGGAGAACGGTCTCTTTCAGCACGGTGAAGTGATCGACGTGGCGGAGAACGGTCTTATCGTGGATTTTCGCTGCAGCGGACAGCGAGCGCAGTTCGTCAACTACGATAACATTTTTCTCGGTTCGCTCATCCCGTGTTGCGCGGGATACTCCCACTGCAACGACGAATTGCGGCGCCATCCCAAGGCGACGGAGAACGCCCGCGTGGAAGTACTGTGTCGCTCACAGCCGGGTGCTGCGTGGCTGTGGTATCCTGGCCGACTTCTCAGTGAAGTCAGGTCCTTCCTGATGCAAGGCATCCCTTTGGTGATCGCTGAATGGGAGCGCACAGACGGATTTGTTCCCCGACGAGCAAGTGCGTTCGCCGCCGTCGAAGAAGGATCTGGATCAACGAGCTGTGCAGCCGTGGGATTTCGCTTTGCGAGAGTGTCCTTTGCCGGCGAATTATTGGTCGACCATCACGTCTGCGATTGAAAATCGCTTTCGTGAGGAAATTGAAACGAGAAAGATGGTCCGAGTTGTGTCGGTGCTCAGCGGAGTGCTCAAGTATGTGCAGCACAGTGGCCAGGAACCGCTGACTCAACACGAGCTAGTAAGTAATCGTGACTCCTGAGATTCGGTGTGTAATTCGATGCGCCTCAAAGATAGACGGTCATTTAACGTCAGTGTAGAACTGTAGATACTATACACACACACGCAAACAGCCTCACTTATGGTTATGACTCACTTGGTCCGGACAGGGAGACATTGTAGGGGGTGTCAACAAGTAATTTTTTTCGAATTTGACTCGCCCGTTTTATCCCTAATAGCTCCCCTGTCGAAGTTTGATACCCCTCTTGGCAACAATATTACGCGCTGCTTTGTTAGGGGATTAGCAGTGCATCGTGTATCTGCAGTGCGTCACTGAGGAAGGGCACTCGTACTCGTATTGATTAACTGTGATCAAATATTATTATCAATATTATCATACTTCGAAGTACTTTTAACAAGACACATAAAGTTTATTGAACAATATACATAAGTTTAATGAACAAGGTACATTTAGTTTATTGATGCTTGATTAAGTTTTGATGTTGTAAAAACTGCTGTTTTCAAGTATTGCATAAGACGTTGGTTGGTCCTCAGGTGAATAAAGAATACAGTCATTATACAGACACATTCAACTTCTTATTAGTTTTAATTTTCTTAACAGAAATCCGCGTACGACCGGACCTGTTTGAACGCTCCCCGGCTGAGGAATGACAAACAGGGCGTCTTCGGCCTGTTATCTCTCAACCCCACGAGAAAACGCAAACACCCTGGCGCCTTTGCGCAGTTGGGAGTGAGAGGTCGCATTCCTACGGAGACGCATCTGCTGCGCGAGATTTTCCTGTCACTGGATAGCGTCAGCGGTGTGAAACTGCGTCGTGTATGTCCGCTGTGGAATTTCGTCCTGACCGGCACGGACAGCGGTAAACTTGCCCGTATTTCCTTCGGGGCCACTCCCTTATTCCCACCGAAAGTGGAGTTCTTCGAAACCGTGTACGGCGCTGTCAGTGGGATGCTGAAATGCACCAATCAGACAACCGAACGACTGATCGTCGAGAATCTGCCGCACGAGTACACGGATTGTGCGTTGACGCTGATTCGCTGGATGCTACGGAATATCCGCATTAAACAGCTTATCTTCTCTAACGTGGAATTCAGTTGGGATTACTATGACCTAGAAGAGAGCCTCGTTGATGTGCCGATTAAAAGGTTGTTGGGAAACGGCAGCTTTGCTGGTATCCGCCAACTGACGGGGTCTCTGAAGGCCTTGGCGCCGGTCTGTGGTGAACTGCGGATCCGGGGATGCGAATTCAGCTGTTATCGACGAATGAAAGCGACGGTTGCGTATGCTACAATAAAACTGGACTCCGCAGACGTTGAATCGCAATTCTGGGAGCTCTACGATAAGAATTTGTCCCGCGACGGAGTGAGTTGGGAGGAAACAGCCGAGTGGATTCGCACAGGATCGCAACGCCTTCGCAAGATGGTGGCTCAGGTAAGAACTGTAAAACAGTGCAGCACCATGTTTTTTTCATTTACTGGCATTTGCAGAAAAGATTTGAAATAATTGGATCGGGATCGATTTGTTACTCTTGTCGTACACTCGGAAACGGCATTTTTTAATACTCGTTTGTGCTTACATATTTTGGGAAATTAGAGTAAATGTATCGTTGCTTTGCCTTAACTGCTTCTAACTCCACATGCTGGTTGTGATCGCTTATTCGCTTGAACTGCAGGCATCGTTACTAAACACAGAATGTCTCGAACTGAGATACGATTTGGATTACTATTTAAATGAAGGTCTTATTTTACTTGAAGTGTGTGCAACTGTATGTATGTGGTGTTTCGTGCAGTATGTGACGGATTTTCAAGGCTGTGATCCGCGGTTGACGACGCATTATCGTGGCTGTAAGTGGACGGTGGACAGTCTGAACGATCTGGATGTCTCCAAGCTGACCACCATCACGCTTCGGTCGTTGAAACAAGTTCCTAGAAATCTGGAATATTTGGCTGAAACGGACAGCTTTGAAGATGACGATGACATCCAGCAGGAGGATGACACCGAAGACGATGAAGACACGGAACATGATGAAGACACGGAACATGATGAAGACGTCGAACATGATGAAGATGTCGAAAATGCTGAAGACGAGCAAGTCAGCGAGTGATTCTGCTTCGATGCAGCAGGAACGCAGGAACAATTTATTGCGCATTGCCATAATCTTCTTAAGGTTTAACTAAGTAATAAGTCCTACATCTTTTGCGCCAGGCAAGCTGCTGTACCAGATCCCATAGTTACGACGATATAAAGTGGCTTTGTTGTTTTAATGTTCAGTTTTTGTATGTAACTCCCGAAAACGGGAACGATGGGTGAGTTGATGATGTGGAAAAACGCTACGGGATTGAAATCATCTAACTGGAAGGCGGATGTACGAGCTACTTGGACAGAAAGGTGGCCCGAAAAGAGTTGCTGACTTCGGGCAAACAGTATGCATTCCCCGCTCGTAATCTCTTTCAACCAGATTCTTGAAAAAAGTTGTGTCCAGCGACAATAGTGGTGTGATCGACCTGGTGTAGCGAGGTGGAAGTTATCCGCGGCGAATTGTCGCGGTGCACAGAATTTTACTGTCCCGACCGCTTCCACCTCGCTACACCGGCACCGCGACATTTCGCCGCGGACAACTAGTCGCAGGACTTTTGGTCGCAGACATTTCACCGCAAGGTCATCTCGCCGCGCGACGTTTCGTCGCAGGACATTTCGTCGGTAGGACATTACGCTGCACGACTTTCTTTCGCATGGCCGCTTCGACGCAAGGATGTCTTGACGAAGCGACATTTCGCCTATCAGATAAATGATTTACTAAACTAAAAAAAAGAGTCAAGGAAAGGAAAACTGAAAAACAAAACCAAACAAACAACCCAAGAAATATAAGAAACCCAGGTAACCCAAAAAAATCCAAGGAACACGAGAAACAGAAGAAACTCAAGCAACCTAAGAAACCAAAGAAGACCTAAAAAGCCTAAGAAACCTACGAAACCTAAGAGATCTAAGAAACCTGAGCAAATCCTAAGAAACCTCAGAAACCCAATAAACCTAAGAAACCTGAAAAACCAAAGAAGCCTAAGAAAATCTAAGAAAGCATAAGAGGACCTAAGAAAGTCTGAGAAAGACAAAGAAAACCTAGGAAAAACTAAGAACAAGCCTAAAAAGGCTGAAAATATAGTGAGAATGAAGCGCGGTGAATTATTTTGCGGCATTTAGTCGCATCATTCGAAAAAAGCTAAGACGAAATGTCCGCGACCAGACGTATTACGTCGAAATGTCGCAAAGATAAAATGTCTCAAAGCATAATGTCCCAAACCCAAGTGTCCAGCGTCCGAATGTCCGGCGGAGAAATGTCTTCGCGGCAAAAATTCGCGCGTCGAGTTTGAGTGCTGCAACATGTCACACTCCCAATTGTCCGGGTGTGAAATTGGCACATCCCCAGTCGGCTCCGGTGTCTGGAGTTCAGAATGTGATTTCCAATCCTGCAGTTCAGGACGAGCTGACGAAGTGGTCGTATTCCCTGTATGTATATCACCTGGTTTAGTTAGCAGGCAGAGTTATAGACACCATTCGGATATATTCTAAAACAAACAGCATTAGGACCGTCAGAACTGCGAAGTCTGTGCACGTCTCAGCCGCCCCATAAGGTGAACTGCAAATGTAATGCCATAAATATTAAACAGACGGTGTGTTATTCTAGTCACTCTTTACTGTTTTGAGTTTTTCAGCCCTAATTTGACGTTTTTGATACAATCTTTAGTGCTGAAATATTTTGCTACTTTCGTTGTATTTATTAGTCATCTGAATCCTTGTCCCTGACAGCATTTACAGTATTTGTTTCTGTTAGTTTCTCTGGTTGAAAGCCCAGGTTAAAGATGTTCCTGTACGAAGAAAAAGGCGTTGCATGCCATCCCGTGTACCAGTGGAATTCCGTGGAAGTGCTAACAAAGAGCGGTCTTTTTCAGCACGGTGAAGTGATCGACGTGCTGGAGAACGGTCTCATAGTGGACTTCCGCTGTAGCGGACAGCGAGCGCTGTTCGTCAACCGCGACAATATCTTTCTCGGTTCCCTCATCCCGTGTTGCGCGGGATACTCTCATTGCAACGACGCAATGCGGCGCCATCCCAAGGCGACGGAGAACGCCCCGCGTGGAGATACTGTGTCGCTCACAGCCGGGTGCTGCGTGGCTGTGGTATCCTGGCCGACTTATCAGTGAGGTCAGGTCCTTCCTGATGCAAGGCATCCGTCTGGTGATCGCGGAATGGGAACTGAATGGTTGCACACAGACGGATGTGTTCCCCGCTGAGCAAGTGCGTTTGCCGCCGTCCAAGGCCGATCTGGATCAACGAGCGCTGCAGTCGTCGGATTTCGTCGTACGAGAGTGTCGTTTACCGGAGAATTATTGGTCTACCGTTACGTCTATGACAGAAAAGCGCTTTCGTGAAGAAATTGAAACGAGAAAGATGGTGCGTGTTGTGTCGGTGCTCAGTGAAGTGCTCAAGTATGTGCAGCATAGCGGCCCGCCGCCGCTGACAAAAGACGACCTAGTAAGTATCGTGACTCGTGAGATTCGGGTGTATACTGTGTACGTACTTCCATTAGTCCAATGTGCCTCAAGTTCAATTATGGATGGACTATTTTGAACACCACTATATGCGCACAAACAGCCTCTCTTATAGCTCAGTCTGTTCCAGCAGAAGGGTGGTTTAAAACCAAGGGTGGTTTTAAACCAGTATTTTTTTGAATTTGACCCTTATTTTCCTAATAGCTTTTGTGCCGTGTTAAAACCTGGATAATTCTTAAATAGGTTATGACACCGCGTGACAGATTGTTCAACATACAGAGTACAAAGTGCAAACTGCTGGAATTAACGCTGCCCGGCAGTCAATTTAGGGCTGAGTCAGTTTTCACTTTTCTCCAGTTTTCGGGAACAAGTGAGCCCGCTGTCAGAATATGACAGCACTCTTGCCAACGATACTACGCGGTGTTATGTTGATTGTTAGGATCGGTAGTTGTTGGGATCAGTGGGTGTTGAGACCAGTAGTGCGTCATGTAGTGCGTCGCTGAGGAAGGGTACTCGTACAGTAGACTCAGACTTTATATAAGGCACACTGGAGTTCTTAATAGTATTCATTTGGAGCAGGAATCCATGTACGACTGGACCAGTTTTGGCCCTCCGCGGCTAAAGAGCATGTCATCTTTTAACCCTACGAGAAAACGCAAACACCCAGGTGCAATCGCGCAATTGGGAGTGAGAGGTCGTATACCTGCAGAGACGCATCTCCTGCGGGAGATTTTCCAGTCATTGGATAGCGTCAGCCGTGTGCAACTGCGTCGTGTGTGTCCGCTATGGAATTTTGTCTTAACCGGCACGGACAGCGGCAAAGTTGTCCGTATTTCCTTCGGGTCCACTCCGTTATTCCCAACGGAAGTGGAGTTTTTTGAAACTCTGTACGCCGCTGTCAGTGGGATGCTCAAATGCATAAATCAGTCAACCGAGAGACTGATTATCGAGAATCTGCCGCACCAGCACACGGACTGCGCACTGACGCTCATTCGCTGGATGCTACGGAATATCCACATAAAGTAGCTTATCTGTTCTGATGTGGAATTCAACTGGGAGGACTTTTACCCCTACGACATGGCGGCTTTTGGGCCGTTGGGTACTGTGGGCTGTGCCGGTATCCGTTGTCTGGCGCGGTCTTTCCAGGCCTTGGCGCCGTTCTGTACGGAACTGCGGATGCGCGGATGTCAGTTCAACTGCTATGAACGGACGAAAGCGAAGATTGCGGATGCTACCATTAAACTGAATGCAGTCACTGCAGTGCATGTTGAAGCGCAGTTCTGGCAGCTTTACGACGCCCATCTGTCCGGCGATGGAGTGAATGTGGAGGAAACCGCCGAATGGATCCGCACAGGATCGGAACGGCTTCGCGAGCTGGTCGCTCAGGTGAAAAATATAGAAATTTTGTAGAACGTGTAAATTTGTTTGCATTAACGTTTGAACATTACTTTGGTATTGGACGAAAGTAGACATAATGCTGTTGTCAAGACCAGACATGACATATGCTTGCATATCTTGTAAATACAGATTAAAAGTCGGGCATTTGCCTTGTTTATTTTTGGTTGTACATGTTACCATGTTAAAATTCTTGAACGGTTCGCATCTTCAAGCAATATAAAATAACTTGAAACTAGTATAGAAGGTCGTAACCGCCCTTAGTGCAAGCGAGCGAGCGTGTAAGACTTTTAACACCAACAACAGTAAACATGCGGGGGTCTGTCTTACCGTTCCCAGCTGCATCATATGCTGGGACATATCAGTAAGCTGTTTACGTCAGACGTCCTATACTATGTCGGTCCTGGCACCGACTTTCAGAATAAGACGACCGTATTTGTTTGTACATCCTTTTATTGGGTATAAATAGGGTATAGAAGGGTACATCCTTTTATTAGGTAATGAAGTCTGCTGTAAATTTTTAATAAGAACCCCATTTTTTAATAAGAACCACAGCAAAACCCGATAAATGATCTCATACAATTCTGGCAACCCGCAAACTTGTCTGTTTGTTATAGACAGAAAGCGATTATTAAACAGATGTCTGTCTGTGCAGAAGTAGCGGTAACTATTTTTCAAATTAAACATGTTCAGGCTACCGGGTCATAGCTGGCTTAGTGAGGCCAGCCCACTGACACGACACTGAAGTCCACGGACACGACCACCAGTACTGACAGGCAACTTAGAAGCACGAGGACCCAGTTGTGGTTGGACTTCAGGTTCGAGCGTAGGCTCAAAATGAAGCTTAGAAAGTACTTTATTTTTTACCATTTTTATAAATGCCACTGATATCATACATAAGTTTAAAAAAGCACTCAAAGTTGGTATTGAGTAGCGTTCCGTGACGTCGGTATGCGCAGATCAAGGGCAAAGAGAGTCGCGAAGCAAAAACTTGAAACGAGAATAAAACATATCCTTATGTCAAATACAATATAGAAGAAACATTATTCCACTCAGTGGGATGCGTTTCTGCTGTGACTGCAAGAAATAAGAAGAGTAGTTGGCCTTCACTGCACGGAAAGCGCAGGCTTAAGGAAGTTGAATGTAAAAGTATGATTCAAATAACAAAAAGTGGTTAATCAAGTAAAAGCGAGAAAACAAGGGTAAGTGGTGGCGGAAAATGATATAGTAATTATGATAATAACCGATAAGGTACTACTTACGACGGAAAACGATAAAGTAACTGGCAGTTAAACAACATGAATAAATGAATGCGAAACCAACTTTTCCAAAACCCATTCGAGTCCATGATTTTGGGATGTCAGAGCCATTGCAGTTAAACACCAGTGGCTCTTCATTTTCTTGCGCGTACTGGCATGCGGAAGATTCGAAACAACGAAATTCGGTTCCGGTGATGAATAAAAGCAGGAGCAGATACGCGAGAATTTGTTCGAAGATGGCGGTTTGCATTTGACAAATCATATAGTGAATATTTGACACTCAATTTTTTGCGTTCAGTGGCGGCACTATCTGGCTGTGGTGGTTTTTTCGTGCCGTATTCGGTGGCACAGTGGCTTCGCAACCTGTAATCAATCGCCGATAGTGTCGGTTTGCCACCCTTAGCTAGCAGGCTGTAGACTTAGGTGACTATCCTGGTTAGCATACCAAGGGTCTACCGGGTAGGCCTTGTTCTTTTTTACCTTGTCCGTGGGAATGGGAACGACGACTTGCCTTCACTTCAGGTAACGGATGCTTTGAACGATATCCGTATCGCAGTGCCAAATCTGGCATTCTACCGTTAAGCAAGGATAGTTGAAGCCGTCCAAGGGGGTGGCCTTTATTTCTTTCACCTCATTCCGGCTGTTGAACTGTAATTTCCGCGCATGAGGGCTCGTCATTGGTGACAGATTTTTTTAGGGCCCTCGTTTTCATGAGATGCTCTTTGCCACATGTTCTGCACGATGCTGGTATCTTATTTTCCAGATGGGTGCTGGTATTGCATGGACCGGCAGGTAGGCCTGTTTAAATCTAAGCGCGGAATTTCAATGCCGTGTGGTACAGAGATCCCATACTCCATAAACTCCATGTGGAGGACTATTGCCTGTCTTCCCGCCTGATGGCTTCTTCCTTTTAGGGTGTTGGGGGGGCAAGAGTTAGCCGTGTGATCTGCTTCATTTCGTTTTTTCTCAACTGCCTCTGGGGTTTTGGTATCGGGATAGGCTGGGGCACCCCATAGGTGCAGCTGGTTTGGTTTGCAAGCCACTCTTTCTGTTTGCGGCTTTGTCTGTGTGGAGGTTTCAGCTCCATGTCAATTATTGCGGTTGTTGGCGTCGGCCATATGTGGATCTGACGTGTCAATGCTCGGACGATTTTTGTCTGCTCCGGTCGAGTTTAGGAAAACAACGTCTCGAATCACTGATCTACCAGTTATTAAAGGCATTTGTCTGTAGTTATTTGTAGCTGGTCTGCTTCTACTCGAGTCTTCATGCGGGACCTGAGAGCCGTCTCTCGATGTCGTATCACAGTTACCCAGGTTTTGCACTTCCCGACGGGCGGCTTTTTGCTGCTATGAGCTGCGACCACGTTTTCTTGAGAGAGATAATTATGTTGTACAGCTCCAGCAACCACCTTAGGCCTTTCAACGCAGTGTAGCTTTTGCTAGAGTTTTGTTCTGGCTCGAGGCAACTGGCAGGGATCTGCATCCTGCGGCTCGATACTAAAACGATACGGGTACTTCCAAAAATTGTTGACGGATCGCTCCAAGTTCTGTCTGGTCGAATCTGTCGATACTCACTGACGCGAATTTACTGGTGGTTCAGTGGTTATCTTTAAGTTGGTTAACTGATCCCGCCGAAAAGCTGTGAAATCAGGATCAAATGGCCGGCAAAAGATCTGTTAAAATGACCAAAAAACTTTAATCTGGGTCCAGCCTTGACAAGCCCTTCGTAAATCGACTGCCGATCCACACTTCAATTCTGCAGAACAATTTTGTGTGATGCCATTCTGGCGGTTCCTCGGTAAGGACGGAGTTGATTTCGCTCAGCAACTCCAGATAAACGTAATCGGGGTCAATTGAACGAATGTATTTGCAATCGCTTGATTCTACGTTGCATAATTTGGACGATGCATTATTGGATACTACGTTGCAATATTTACCTTTAAGCTTTAGTAAAGGTATCCTTTGATTGTGATAAATGGCTTTAAGTAAGTTTCATAGCGGCGGCCACAATTTGTTTCAAGCGCAAAGGCGCAATAAATCGGGAACCTGCTTGAACTGTTGCAACTGTCGAGCTGCGGGTTCTACTGGTGGGTCAACCACCGATCTAGATTAAACCGCTAGTTCAGGTTCTTGTATACCTTGTGATAGCGACATCGGGTTTGCTTGTGAACGTGATTCGTTTGGTCACATTCTTGTTGCAGCTGGCAACGATTCGGACGTCGCCAGATGCAGCAAAAATGTTGCATCTGTCTTTTATTTTAAAAACAAAACAAATAAAAATTGCTTTAATTCCTAGTCCGTGTCACGCAAGTACTATCAGTTTTTTTTGGAGTCTCGGAACATCAGTGAGTAGCAGTCTCGAGATGGCGACGGCACAGCCATATAAGTTTGAGCAGCAGTTGATTGGCTTCGATTGGGCCGGCTGGATTCTAAAATACAGCCGAGCTGTTTATGCCTGCTTGGTCTTTCTGCATTTTGGAAACTAAGCAATTGCCTACTGAAAGCTTGCCGGAAAAAACATTTTAAAAGTTGAACATTTCCCTTTTTACAATGCTCAACGCCGTTTTGATAGATCAAAAGTTCTTCAGTTTTGGTAAACGTTGTTCCCGTGATTTATTTTGCCGTCGTAAAACCAAGTTCTGGACCGAAAACGAACTTTCCGGAGCAGGTCCAAATTTACGCCCCCATACAATAGAACGGTGGCTTCGTTTGTATTGAACAGATGGTTCTCTGCGTGACGGTTAACAGCTCATCCAACACACCACCTAAACCCGTCAAAATTCTCAGACTGGGTCAAAATATACGGTTTCACCTTACATAAGTACCGCGGGTTCGCTTATAATGCCCGGATGGCTTTCCGTGTGACGGTTCTTCCAAAACACGCCACCTGGACCGGTCAAAATTTCCGGACCGGGTCCAAATTTACGCCCCGCCATACATTAGTACGGCGGGTTCGTCAAAAATGCCCGGGTGGTTCTATGCGTGACGGTTCTTCCAAAACACGCCACCTGGACCGGTCAAAATTTCCGGATCGGGTCCAAATTTACGCTCCCGCCATACATTAGTACGGCGGGTTCGTCAATAATGCTCGGGTGGTTCTCTTCGTGACGGTTCTTCCAAAATACGCCACCTGGGCCGGTCAAAATTTTTGGACCGGGTCAAAATTTACGGCCCTGCTATACTTTAGTACGGCGGGTTCGTCAGAAACGCCCGGGCGGTTTTCTGCGTGACGGTTCTTCCAAGACACGCCACCTGGACCGGTCAAATTTCCGGACCGGGTCCAAATTTACGCCTCCGTCATACATTAGTACGGCGGGTTCGTCAAGAATGCCCGGGTGGTTCTCTTCGTGACGGTTCTTCCAAAATACGCCACCTGGGCCGGTCAAAATTTTTGGACCGGGTCAAAATTTACGGCCCTGCCATACTTTAGTACAGCGGGTTCGTCAATAATGCCCGGGTGGTTCTCTGCGCGACGGTTCTTCCAAAACACGCCACCTGGACCGGTCAAAATTTCCGGTTAGGGTCCAAATTTACGCCCCCGCCATACATTAGTACGGCGGGTTCGTCAATAATGCCCGGGTGGTTCTCTGCGTGACGGTTCTTCCAAAATACGCCACCTGGGCCGGTCAAAATTTTTGGACCGGGTCCAAATTTACGCCCCCGCCATACATTAGTACGGCGGGTTCGTCAATAATGCCCGGGTGGTTCTCTGCGTGACGGTTCCAAAACACGCCACCTGGACCGGTCAAAATTTCCGGACCGGGACCAAATTTACGGCCCTGCTATACTTTAGTACGGCGGGTTCGTCAATAATGCCCGGGTGGTTCTCTGCGTGACGGTTCTTCCAAAACACTCTACCTGGGCCGGTAAGTACTGATAAATTTTGTGGTACCTTCTCGATTGTTTCAGCGGGGGGCTGCGCCCCCCGCACCCCCTGCTTATTGGGGCTCCGCCCCAAACCCCGGCCAGGGGCCTCGCCCCTGCACCCCGGGGACCCAGCTCTCCGCGTGACGCACTACAACTTAAAAACGCTCGCTCGCTTCGCTCGCTCGCTTGATTATGTAGATCAGTAGATATAATTTATCATAAAGGTCTGCTGATGCTTGAAGCATATGGTGTCTTACGCAGTGTGTGACGCGTGTCCAAAGCTATGATCCGCGTTTAACGACGCATTATCGTGGCCGCGAGTGGACTGTGGAGAATTTGAAGGATCTGGATGGCTCCAAGCTGACCACCATCACGCTTCGGTCTTTGCAAGATGTTCGTAAACGTTTAGAATAGTTCGCTGATCGGAGAACCATGAAGATGACGATGTTGTCGAAAAGGACGGTCACACCGAAGAGGATCACGATATCGCAGACGAGGAAGATAGGACTTTGGAGGCTACCTATATTAGTTTTTATAACTGTATTTTATTCACTTCAGTGATCAGTTTGCTGAAATTTGTTTGTTAGACTTTAGTTGAGCAAGCACTGTAAGCTGTCTGCAATAGATAGATTCCGGTACGCCTGCCCACTGCGTATGCCCCGCCTGTGTGACGTAGGTTGGTGAGAGAAAATCGTATTTACATGCGCCGATGAGGTTTTAAGAGCCTTTCGCAGCCAGTTAGCCTGGATGAGCTGGCAGCACCCGAAAAGTGGATTAGTTAGAGATCGCTCTATTTACCGAGTATTTTTCGGTTCCTGTACGAAAAGGCGCAAAGGAGTTATTCCTCGTTTAAGCTCCATTATTTATGAGACCAACTGGGCGGGCGGGCAATGCGACCCGAGCCTGATTTGAACGGAACTTACATTTAAAATGTAACTGGTGGACTTCAACCAATTACTGTAACTGGTGTAAGTGTAAAATGTAACTGGTGTAACTGTAAACTCAAATGTAACTGGTGGACTTCAACCAATTACTGACTTGATTTCAAACAAGTTCGGTTTTGATTGGGTTGGAGCAACCCAATCAGTGCGCACGGGCGTACTGGAATCTATCTATTGTGCAGGATAATTAATTTATCATTCCCAGTGTCACAGTATTTGTTTGTAGTGCACTGCAGTTGTTGCTTAGCTGAGAATGCACCTTTATGGCGAAAAGCGTTTTGAGTGCCACCCTGTGTACCAGTGGAACTCTGTGGATGTGCTGACAGAGAGCGGACTCTTCCAGCATGTTGAAGTGATCGACGTGGCGGAGAACGGGCTGATCGTGGATTTCCAAAGCAATGAACAGCGAGCGCAGTTCGTCAGCTACGACAAAATCTTTCATGCTTCCATCATTCCTAATTCTGTGGGGGCCCAGCGCCAATACAAACTGGGGTATGCCGAACTGCAGTGGAGTCCCTCAGCAATTGCGAATGCCCGTGTGCAGGTCCTGTGGCGCTCGCAGCCGGGTGCTGCGTGGCTGTGGTACCCTGCCTGGCTCCTGAATCGTGCTTTCTCCTTCCCCTTTAATGACATTTGCTTGGTCTGGGCCGCCGTGGAGGTGGAGGGTCGACGGCACGTGGAATTGTTCTCCGCGGATCAGGTGCGCTTCCCGCCGTCCAAGAAGCGCTTGGCCGAACGAGTGATCCACCCGGGCTCCTTTGTATCGCGCGAATGCCGTCTGCCTGTTGAATTCTGGCCGAATACAACGCACACAGCAGCAGATAATTTCAGTCGGCATCCGCCGTTTCAGGACAAACATGTGCGTATTCTATCCGTTCTCGGGGAGACCGTAAAGTATCTGCAGCGAAGTGACGCCGAACCTATCACCGAAGAGGACGTGGTGTGTATATTCTATTAAAACCAATTACTTAAGTACGAATACTGAATTTCTCTTAATTATTCTGGTGTGTCCCGGAATTTATTTTTCATAGTACTGTAGTTGTTCAGATTTTTGTTGATACCCGATCGTAGCGCGAGAGGTTCTGCGCACTTCTGTGTGGACTGTAATTACAGACTTACAGACTATGAAGTTCATAGCATTTATCGTTTAAAAGCTGTGCCAAGTTTTACCATTGGCAAATAATGTTTACTGCATGTCCTAGACGCTTGTTTACGGTACTTATAAATGTTTTAGTTTTATAGATTATCTGTGTAAATAGTTAATTATGTTAATATTTAGGTAAAATTATTCGTTACGTACGTAAACGAATAATTTTTGGGGAAGGCTGCGAACACCCCCTTGATGTTTGTTGTATATTTTTCCAGCAAAAAGTGTACGACGCGACCAGAGAGTTTTTCTCAAAGCAACCGGGCTTGTCCAATGACGAACAGGACAATCCTGCACTGCAGTTGTCCAGTGTTCGGAAGACGACCCGCAAACGCAAGTATTCAGAGGAGGATGCACAGCCGGAAGTGGAATGCGTATTGCCAGCCGCGACGCATCTCCTGCTGGAGATCTTCCATTCCTTGGACAGCCTCACCCGCATAAAACTGCGTCGCGTCTCTCCGCTGTGGAACACCGTCCTGACCGGCGCCGACAGCGCGAAAACCGTCCGGGTGTCCTTCGTCCTGAACCCGTTTTTCCCACGGGAAGCGGAGAATTTCACCCAGGTATTCGGCGCCGTGGCTGGCCTGCTGAAGTGTACGAATGCTTCCACGGAACGGATTATTCTTGAGGATATGTGGGTGGATAACTTTGATGGTGCCCTGATGGTGATCAAGTATCTGCTCCAGAACATCCGGCTGAAACAGCTGACATTCCATAATGTGGTAATGGACTGGGATGATCGTTTTGATGAGGACTACGCCGGGAGTGGTGTGGTGGCTGTGGAGGAGTTGGAGGGTGGAGGCAAGACGTTCTTCAGGCGCTTAGCCAAAACGCTGAATAGTTGGGCACCGTGCTGCGATGAACTCCGGCTGCGACGGTGTACGTTCACCTGTATCGAAAAGATGAACGCAGTTATTCAACACGCGACGATTAAGCTGGATGCAGCGGATATTGAGGCGCAATTCTGGGATCTGTACGAGGCGCATTTATCCCGCGACGGGGTGAATCTGGAGGAAATGGCGGAATGGATTCGAACAGGATCGGAAGAACTCCGCAACATGGTTGCCCAGGTAAAACCGCAGTTGAAATGACGAAAGTAGTCGATTTTTTCAGTTTTTTTCTGGTGCAGGCTAATGTTTTTTGTGCCAGTCACCGCCAAGATTCACATACTTTAAGTGAAGAGATAACCAGTTTAAGGTTTGATCAGCACGGTTTTTCCAAATATTAAAGCATAAATCAGTTTATTTTTGGGTTATTGAACCGTTATTCGTAGTAAGCAGTTTGATTTTATAAAATTTCTTAGTTGAATTTTTACTTACATTTCAATTTTTAAATAAAATTGTTTTGACTTGCAGTACCTGGAGGACTGGCAGAGCTACGATCCGCGATCGACGACGCAATATCGTGGTCAAGAGTGGACGGTGGATAATCTGAAAGATCTGGATGTCTCCAAGCTGACCACCATCACGCTGCGTGCCTTGAAAGAACGCCTTCCGGAGGAAATGAAAGATTAATGCCATAGATTAACTGCAAAATGTGATTTTTTTGTGTTCACGAATCTTGTGGTGGTATTAATCTTGAATGTGTTCACGGCATGATTTTTATCCTTTTGTTTTCGGTGCCAAGGTATAACTGATCGATTGTTTTGTACAATCAATTTAATCTGGAAGCACGACGGAAGCTTACAGATACAGTTGTCGATCGGTGCTGGTTTTTTTTCATTGCGGAGTAACCGCCTAAGGGTGGCACTTCGGTATAAGAAATTACACTTCCTGTGGAACCGTTGATACTCTTGCTCTGATATCAGTTTTGAACTTTTGATATTAGCCGCAACCTGCTTAATTTCCTTTTTTCGGCTTCATGCTGTAGCGGCGTGTAGCCTCTAATTGACGTCCAAAAATTCACTAATAATCGATCTGGCGGTCGATGTTTATTGTTCAGGGATTCATGGCAGCACATCTGAGTTTCTCTGGATGACAGTACAGTTATCGCTGTATTTGTATTATAATCGTGAACACAAGTTAGCGATTGCTTATCCAGCACTGTCTGTGCTGCATTGGAATTTCTCGCATCGCAGTTTTTAGGAGTTTATTGGTAAATTCTAATTAAGATGCACCTTTACGGAGGAAAACACTTTGGTTGCCATCCCGTATACCAGTGGAACTCGGTTGACGTGTTGACAGACAACGGATTCTTCCAGCACGGCGAAGTCATCAACGTGGCGGATAACGGTCTGATCGTGGATTTCCACTGCAGCGAGCAGCGCGCGGAGTTTGTCAGCTACGACAAAATCTTCGACGCCTCCCAGGCCCCGTACTCCCGGCCGTATCGCCACTGGCAGGAAGAACTGCGGAAGAACCCCGCGGTGACGGAACACGCCAGTGTGCAGGTGCTGTGTCGCGCGCATCCCGATGCTCCATGGATATGGTACCCGGGTCTACTGCTCAGTAAGGCCCTGTTCTTCCACTACGACGGGATCGCTTTACTGGTCGTCTTGGTAGAGGTGGAAGGCTGGAGTGATGCGGAATTGTTCCCCGCCGATCAGGTGCGTTTTCCCCCGTCCCCGAAGGACCTGGATAAACGGGCGCTGACACGCGCCATGAAAGATGGGGCGGGGGCCAGCAATGCCTTCGTGGTGCGACAGTGTCGTTTGCCGAAGGATTATGCGGCCACCGTCACGCCCGCGATCGCCAAGCGCTTTCGTCGTCGCATTGAGCTGGTACAGCCGCCCACGCACCGACTGCATGTCGTGTCGATTCTCAAGAAGAAGGGGGTGTTCACGTTTCTCCAGCGTTTCTTAGGGTTGCCCCCATTGGAAGAGAATGTGGTGCGTACGCAGAGATGTTGTCCATTTTATCCTTCTTGATCAATGATGGCAGATGAGATGTTAAAAAAGCTGCTGAAGTTTCAATTTTTAAATCTAGTGAATTATGTTCTGAATATTGCGAATGTTTTTTTAATATTTTGTTTCTTGCTACTTTATTAATTTTTACCTGGTAGACCAGCAGTCTGTACTGTTCGCGTAATAGTTGTTGAATAATGTGTAGTTGACTGATTTACTGTACAATCGTTTTAAGATTGAAGTAGGTTGGTTTTTGAATAATTATCGTCAAGGTACCGATCAAATTTTATTGGGTTTTGCTGAAATGCAGTAGAATAATTTTTGAGAATAACAGTAAGCAATCAATACTGTATTATTTTAATTAGTATAATTATTAAGATTTAATCCATAAATTGTGAATTTTATGGACATCTGTGAACATCTATAAATTTTATGGATGTTCAAAGAAAATTAAAGTAATTTGGAAAATCAATTTTTTGAAACTCAGGTTCCGTTTCGGCTAATTTAAAGTCGATTTCAAAAAGTGCCTACATTGTGCACAGCAAACGTTCTGAATTCTTTGTCTGATTGATTTTTTCCGATGTTTTTTGGCAGGAAACCGAGTACGAGGCCATCGTCGCACAGGAAACCAGCCAGGTGGATGGACCAGGCACGTCCAGCGGGACGAAGAAACGCAAAAACCGTGACGACGATGCCCAGTCGGAAGGGGAATGCGTACTGCCCACCCAGCCGTATCTTCTGCGCGAGATCTTCGACTCTCTGGACAGCGTCAGCCGGCTGAAACTGCGTCGCGTCTGTTCGCTGTGGAATGCCGTCCTGACCGACCCGAACTGCGCGAAAACCGTCCGAATTTCCTTCGACATGAACCCGTTCTTCCCGCAGGAGGACGAGCAACTGACGCGGCTGTACGGCGCGGTCGGGGGTCTGCTCAAGTGCATCAATCCCGCAACGGAACGGCTGATTCTGGAGCATGTCTTCGCTGAGCACTTGGAGAACACTTTGCCGATCATTGGCTGGATGCTGCGACACGCCCACATTAAGCAGCTCATCTTGCATAAGGGGGACGTCAATTGGGATGATGTTAGTATATTGGAGGGGGCCGGGGGTGACGAGATTGTGGGGGACATATTGGGTGTGGGCCGGACGATAATACGCCGGCTGGCGGCGGCGTTCCGCGGCTTGGCGCCGTTGTGCGATGAATTACTGCTGCTGCGGTATGAATTCAACTGCAGCCAGCGGATGGAGACGGCTATTCCGCTGGCCAGAATGCAGCTGAATGCCGCGGATATTGAAGCGCAATTCTGGGAGCTCTACGAGGCACATCTGTCGCGCGACGGAGTGAACCTGGAGGAAACGGTGGAATGGATTCGAACAGGACCGAAAGCGCTTCGAAGGGTGGTTGCAGAGGTAAAATTCATTTGAGAGAGCGGATAATCGTTGGCGCGACTGAATTTTTTTTATGAATATTTTGCGATTTTATTTTTAAATTTTGTTTCAGCCTTTATTTATTTTATACAGTAATTTATTTCGCCACCTTTTTTGTTATTTATTCCAATTTTTTCATTATTTATTGTGCTCACTAACTGTTTATTTTGCATCACCAGTTATTTTATTTTTTAAATACATTTTGCTTGGGATTAAATTTCACTGCGAACAATGCGCCTCATGTTTAAAAAAATTTCCAGCAATTTAATGCTCGAAGCAGTAACGAATTCTTGTGAAATAATATTTGAAGGTAATCGTTTGCGTATTATAATACTTTATGTTTTACTTATGTATTCGTGGAAAATTCTAAAATAATTGTCTGGTATAAAAAAATATGGCAGAATATTTGATTAGTGGCCGTTTGTTGTTTGTAGGAATTGGAAAACTGGCAGAGTTATGATCCGCGTCCAACGACGACGCATTATCGTGACCGCGAGTGGACGGTGGAAGATCTGAAGGATCTGGATCTGTCCAAGTTGACCACCATCACGTTGTGTGCCTTGAAGGCTATTGATTCCGAAGATTGGGACTATCCGTCTGCGGAGGAAGAGAACGGCGTAGCTGAGGAAGAGGGGGAATAATTCTTGCTCACAATACTGTTCATTCAGCTCACTACCTGCATGTTAACGATACTGTTACTGTAATTCAGCTCACTACCTGCAGTATTATGCCAGTTTTCGTGTCCGAAACGGGACATTTATGCAGCACATTGCCGTTTAATAATATATTAGTAATACGCACATTAATGTTTTTTGTTCGACCAAACTTGAAGCCTCTCTGGGGTTGTCGGCTCTTGTGCCGTAATAATGATAACTTAATCTATACCGGCATTTTTTGCTTAATGACTCATAAGGCACGATTTATTCGAAACAATGCCCTTTTATTTTTGTAATACGCTTTCTTTTTCGTTCAGATTATGGGCATATTTGAAATGCTGTACCAACAGAAGCACATTAATTTATTTGGTGCTTTGGCGAACGTTGATATACGCGTTGCAGAAATACTGTAGTTGATAAAACATGTAAATTTTTTTTCTGTATTTTTATTGGGGTTGATTTCGTAACATAAAGTCGATTTCTTCGTCGCTAAGATTGCTGCATCATTAATTTATTTCAGATAATTATTTACAAAAAATTAATCACGTTACTTGTGTTAATAAATCCTTAAAATACGGAAATACATACTTTCAATCAGCAATTTGTATTGATAATTCATTATCCACTTTAATTATGAATTATTTTACTATCTGTATTATATACTCGAGTAGACATATCTTTATTGATTTGAATTATATTTTTCGTTTATTATTCGCTTTAATTGCTGCATCTTTGGCGCGGCTGTTATACCAGTGGCAAACATCCAAGAAATTTTAAACTCTCACAAACGAAATTAACAACCGCCCGTCATGCAGCAGCATTCACCGCACACATTAACAATCCAACGGGAAAATAATAATAACAAAAATCATTCCAAGAAATTCGTGATCCCGTTTCCAATCACCCAGCCCGCGTCGTCAAGCATCCAGGGGAAAGACATTGAACTTCTGCAGCGACGCCACGGTGCCCAGCTGCAGGAGGAGCGAGAGCAGCCAGGCCAGCAGGGGCTGGCGCAGGGTGCCGGTGTCGCGGTTGCTGGCGTAGTTGTAGAGGATCTGCAGGCAGTTGCGCGGGTACTTCCGCTGATTGACCATCACCCGCATCAGCGTCTCGTAGAAGTAGGCGTCCCAGGGGTGGCGCGCGATGTTCTGCGCTAATAGACGGTTGAAGAGATGCCGGGTGTAGGTGTCGTTGGCGTGGCCGTGCCGGTAGCGGCTGATGATGGGGATGATGGTGTGCTGGCCGGAGATGTCGCGCACACACTGCAGTAAGCGCAGATCATCTGCAAATCAAATATCAAATATACATCAGTGATCAGATCATAATATTACTAAACTAAATTAACTTACTTACTAACTTACTATCTTAACTTAACTTACTAACAGTATTTAGTAGTATTATGATCAGATACAGTATATTCTGATTAAATAATAAAAATATTTTTAAAAAATTCATCAGTATAACGGTATTTATTCACTTCTTTACAAATTATTGCTGCAGATTAGCAAGTGAGAAGTAACCAACGAAATGCCACAATGCAAATTTTTTTCGCCAATATTTACAGTTTAAACCGTAATTTTTCCAGAAATTTGCGTCTTCACCACTTGACAGAGAAATCAGAAACTAATAAGAAAACAAGTTAAGGACGAAAAAAGTCCTACTGTTACTTCGTTTTTCAGCAGCTGTTTTAAATTATTCGGATTAAACAAAGAATTCAGCAAGCCGAATAAAAACGAAGGTTTTCTGTACCCTGACTGCCGCCTGCCGGTAAGCATTTTTTTGCTAACGTTTTAACTGAAAACACACTACACGTACGGTGACGTACCGGAAACGACAACCAGCATGGGGGAGGGGTAATCGTCGAGGAACTGGCGGACAAACCGGCAAATACCTTCGCGACGGGCATTCGGCGGATTGTGGCTGTCGGCCACGTTACAAAACTGCATCTGTAAACCACAAAAACCAAGAGAATAAACTAAACTACTGTATGTATAAATAAATTCACTTATAATTTAAAACGTATTATAATAAATAAATTTTATATAGTTTATCCATGAAAACAGCGCCTGCAGATTTACGACAAAAACCAGGAGAATAAATAAAACTCCATAACAAATCAAAATTTTAACAAATTAAATAACGTTAATTTTCTGTAGCTTATTCACGAAAACAGTGCTTGAAAATTTCCCACAAAAACCAAGAGAATAAAAATTAATTTTTCTACAATTGCATTTTAGAAAATTAAAAAATTTGATTTGCTTTTGTAGTTGATTTGCTTTGTAATTTACCCAATAACTACAAACTACAGAGAAACACTATAGGGAACGTTCTACGGTACAAACTAATTTTAAAAATATTAAAATAAAAAAGATTTTCTGTACGGATTTACCTGCAGATCATCAAACGTCCGCATAATGACATCGTGCTGCGTCTGGACCTGCAGCGCGGTGACATGCGGCAGATCGCACACCACCGCCACCCGCACGAGGACGTGCAGTCCGCCGACGGCCAGCCATTCCGTGCAGAATTCGCGCAGCAGACTGGCGCGGTAACGCAGCGCCGTCACGATCGACTCCACCGTCACCACCTCCACGCCCAAATGATGCCGGCGCAGATCCCAGAAGACCCCGATGTCGTGACGGTGGACGGGCGCCAGTTCTGTCGGAACAATCAAACAACAATCTCAGCTGACAACTTCAACAGCCGGAAATTCAGCGGCGCGTGTGGCAACTGCTACCGCACAATGGCGGCAGTGTAAATGCGAATATTTTCGTGAAAGATTTTGAATTTTCACCACCTTACGTCACTTTCTCTGCAACCCTTTCTATTCCAAAATTAGGAAAACAATTACAAAAAAAGATTGTAAAATGAAAATGCGTCGCATGGAAGCAGAGTGATGCAAAACCAACCTATCTGATTACATTGATGTTGAACGCTAGTGCCAGTTGTTAAATTGTTAATGCAGCTACGTGTTCTAAACTGTTCCTTCGTTTTATTAATTATTACGCAACATGCTATCGATCTCGGTTCACGGAGAGCATGCCATGCAACGTACCTTCATGGGCTTGCGCGTCAAAGCTGACAGACCGCGGGAAGCTCAGACGGGGTTTGTGAAATGCCATATTCAAGACACGAGTTGTGCACGCGCGAAGGATGCTGCAGAAGCTTCAAGCGTGGATGACGATATCGCGGTCCCAGGCACGGACAGCGCAAGAGGGATGCTCGCTGCTTGAGCACTGGTGCAGATTATTCAGGCATGCTGATCTGATAATAATGGGTACATCCAGAAAGTCCTTTAATCCGGTTTCTTAAAGATGTTAAATTTTAAAACAAATTAGGAAATTCAGAACGTCAAAAAATGCCAACTGGAAATCTTCGAGTGGCAAAATCCAATGCAAAACACCGAACTGTCGACGTGAACGCAGTTCCTGGGTGGTCGCAACGGCGCACAAAATCGTGTATTCTGTATGTACATCAGTACATGGACTACATGCACAACACATACTACATACTGTGATGTACAATAACATGCACTTCTATAACAGGTTAGTAATCAGTACAATTTTTCCTCCTGGCCGCGGTTAAATTGGATATCCGCCGGTTTTTTATCGACCACTCCCGTTTGTTTTTAAAACCTGGCAGAATTTTGCGTGAACGTCTTAGGCAGGGTAGAATAAGAAAACCACTTGTATTCGCTTGGCGCGACAGGAGAGTATTCGAATGTAGGTTAATACAAACGCAAATTAATTTTATTAAATCAATTTTGAACGTCATTTTCAAATTAATGAACCTGGAAGTCTCGTCGGCGTTCTCAAATACTGTTGCCCAGTTTCTTGTATATCGGCATATTCTGCCAACAGCACCTTACTGCTGATGGCCACCGGCTTTTATTGCGCTGTTCATTTGAATGATTTTATTACTGAGAATACGTGTATTCGATGTTTTTACGGTTCTACAACGAGCAACCTGTTCAATGAGCGATTTAATACCGAAGCGAAGAATCCATTTCGCATTTATGTACGAATATGTATTAATAAAGTACGGTTATTACATATTATGTAGACAAATCAAATAACATCTTATCCCACCGAAATATCAACAAGACATTCCACTACTGGAAAAATCAGCGAGAGGAACAAAAATGATTTACTACTATGCAGGCAACTACTGCACGCAAGGAATAATGCATGGGATGGTTAAGCCTCACAGTGCAGGTTGCAGCCATCGAAGCAGCATCTTCCGCGTCCGCACTCGCGGTCATTTTCGCAGAAATTCCTACGGTCCTTGCGGTCGCAGTGATGGTCTCGTCTCTGCAAAGCAACAGACAGACGATGATATACGTGATATCGCATATTTTAACTTCACTAGTGCCAGTATAGTTGTATAATAATTAGCAATCCCGGTTAACAAAAATGACCTTAACATAAGACTTGCATCGGAAAATTTATTAATGAAATCAGACTTCATAAAATTCAGCAAAAAAAAAATTTTTTACTATCTACACTATTATGCTTTCTAAAATTAGATTTAATTTAAACCAATTAAATTTAAAGATTTGTTCTCAATTCGCTTACCCTGCAATCCCGGCGCACCGCGCGTTTCTCCAGGACCTTCTCCAGATCGATGGCTCCTACAAGCACCACAAAATGATTATTATCACTGTGTGATTTATTGTTTAACATAAATTTCCTTGAAAATTTAATTATCCAACTAAACTGCATATAATTTAATTCTGTTTAATTATCTAATAATTGCTAATCCAAAATCTTACCAGCAGAAATTGTTCCGGCCATAAGCAACAGGCTCATCAACAAGGCGCACACAATAACACTGCGATGCATCTTGCCTAAAGGTCACGGCTGCGAATCTTCGAACAACTATACACTAGCTGCAAATCGGTAAGAAAAGAAGATCTTCGATCCGTGGCAGTTAAAGTAAACTAAACGAAGCAATATGCAGAATTGCAAGTCCTGAAAAGTCTTTTATATGTGGCGAAAGTGTACCTGCAGCTGCAGTAAACATTACGGATCTCTAATTGTCCAACGGTCTCTGTAAGTGCGATTTCTCGCCATTGACCGTCCCGTTGCGCTGTCCTAGCGATAAACGACCACGGCAACTGTATCCGTGTGTAATGACCTCTTCATAGAAATCGAGCACAGGAGCATCCTGCTTCACGTTGTGTGTACCGTACCTCTATTATGTCAGTTAAATTGCACTGGTTTGAAAATACTAGATCTAAGAAATCAGAATAAATTCATGAGGTTGGACAAAAGTTTCAAAATAATACTGGCGCCGAACGTGATCCGCTTTAAACTTTATCGGTACTTTGGTATTTCTCATGTTTCTGTTAAGTCAAGTGTACGTTTGTATATATCGGTCCCTAGTGTTAAAATTTCCTGACAAACAAAAATGATGGAAATTGTCAGAGCGGCATCCGCTCTCTATAGGATCGTTCGATAGAATGTTTCATTAGATTTGTATGCTTTGCCGATAGCCTCGTGGTGCCTCTCTCGGCCTTAGAGTATGGAGGTTGTGGGTTCGATTCCCTCTCTAACAGGGGATGAACGGCTAGTTCACCCCTGTGCGCGAACAGTTTAACGGAAACTGAACGCCAACACACTGCACACTTTATCGCTCTCACATACAACATCTCAAAGGCCACCGCAGCACCTTGCTGCGGGGCAAAAAGGAAAAAGCATCCAGCTCAGACGACGAAATCTAGCAACTGAAAAATCTACCAGATTTAGAATCTGGTAGATGGAGAAAAACACGGCAAAAACAGCAAAACAACCTAGCAGCCGCCTGTGCGCGGGTGAACGGAGAGGCCACTCCTCCTCACATGCCTGCGGGTGGATCCCATGAGGTCCTCCGAATGCATCGCGCGGCGTCGCGAACTCCCCTCCATGTCTTCCCGGGCGTCCTTGCTGCCCATTGGGGCTTTAAGCCTCAGCTCGTCCGTCCACACAGCCGATGCGCATCCTTCACACTGCAGGCACGGGCCGTGCCTGCGGTTCTGGAAAAGCGGACACATGCAGTGTAAGCACCTTGCTTAAAACGCACCTTCGCGTAAAAACTGCATCCGCTGACGTCACCGGTGCCTGCGGTACTGGATAGACGTCACATACGGCTGGCTTCACATCGGCTCGGCTCACGGTTCGCTTCGGTACGGCTTGATTCCGGTCCACTTTGACCTGCTTTGCGTTGTCTGGGTCAATGCACTGGCTGCAACGACATCCAGCGTCCAACCAGGAAATGGGTGAATTCCATTCTTTTTCAGTAGGAAAGGTCACGTTCTGAGGAAAATCGGGCAGGGGTTTGTGGCATTGGAACGCTGGTGACCCTGCAAACACCAAAATACGATTCTTCGGTGGGAAATTCCTCTGCATCCGTCCGGGAAAGGTCGTCATCCCAGGAAAAACGGGCAGAGGTTTGGGGCTATCTGACACTGGTGACCCTGTGGGGCAGCTCACTGGTACTTCTGCGATGGCAGGGTTCACGTGGGCTTCGGTGAATGGCAGTCCTGGAGCTGCTACGGACTGGAGTTGGCCTTGTCGTCGCTGGCTGCTGCTGACATCATCCTTCACGTCCTTCTTCACCCTCTCCATCACCGCGCTTCGCGATGTGGTATTCCTCCGGCTTCCGGCGGGGGTCATTCCTCCCGTCCATCGTCGTATCCGGGGCTGCCGCTTCGGCAAAGTGAACTTTCACTAGGGGCGTCAGACGTCGCACTTGGGGCTCGAAAGGGTGCACATGGTTCTTCCGAGATCTGCTACCATCTAACAGGGGATGAACGGCTAGTTCACCCCTGTGCGCGAACAGTTTAACGGAAACTGAACGCCAACACACTGCACACTTTATCGCTCTCACATACAACATCTCAAAGGCCACCGCAGCACCTTGCTGCGGGGCAAAAAGGAAAAAGCATCCAGCTCAGACGACGAAATCTAGCAACTGAAAAATCTACCAGATTTAGAATCTGGTAGATGGAGAAAAACACGGCAAAAACAGCAAAACAACCTAGCAGCCGCCTGTGCGCGGGTGAACGGAGAGGCCACTCCTCCTCACACCTCAATCGGCAGATTTTTTGCGAGTGTCTGTGCGAGCCTAGCCCAGCCCTTTCAAAATGAATAGTTTTCATAGTGAGAACTTTGCTCATGAATTTCGAAGCGTAAACTAAAAAACCAAAGGAAAAACAGGAACTGGATCGGGTGCAATGTAACGAGCCGCTCTTCCACGTTTGCAAATTTCAAAAATTTCTAATTCCACCACTTTCAGTTTTGTTTTGATGACTTCAGACCAGTGACAAATAGATCAAAAGCAAGTTGTGCGGTCCGCAGCTATTCATGCAGGGGGTGTGTAGTGACCGGTGACCAAAATATGAAACCGTATGCTTAAAGTGACCGAAATAGGAGAAACACCGATGAATAAATGTAATAATAGTTTAGCTAAATCTAAATCAAATCTACTTAACAGAAATCACCTCTGCGCCAGTTGTTAACACAATTACATTATAATAATATCAACACTGGCGCGCAGAAGCGCCAGTTTATTCCCACGTGTCAACATAAACTTATATGCTCCGTGTATTTGCATGTTACGTAAACGAATACCTTACCTGCACATTTATAGAGTGGTACATCCATATAAATTACGTCAGCGGCCCAACACGCACTTCCTGCAGACGTCGATGATTCGCGAGCCAATTGTACCTGAGTCTGTGTGACGCCGTACAATTAGTTTCAATTACAGTACTCGCACCTGTGCAGCTTTAATTACATTTCCCTACATTCAAGTGATTCAACCGTATTACGTCAAAATACTGGTTATTTCATAAAGAAAGATATGGGACATTCCCCGACCGGCATCGTACAGAAATGCCTGTCAGTCCACCTGACCATTCTCCAGTTTTTCGGTCATGGCTTTTTCTCGTCCCATCGATCAACCAGCAAACGCCGTCCTAAATCATCCACACTACACATCCTATGGCGCATCTGGGTGGTACTCTTCGCGGCATCCTGGCTGCTAAACTCCGTTGCCGCCATCCTGCAGTACCTCAGCAGCATCCTATCCCAGCCCAGCAGCGGCTCCACCACTCAGAAAATCATCGCCGTCGCCTGCACCGTCAGCAACCAGGTTTTCCTCTTCTTCGCCTACCTCCACATGGCCTACACACACGCCGATCTCCTGAAGGTCATCCAGAACGTCGACCGGCATTGTGTCGTCTGGATGACCTTTGCCCAAAAGAAACAGCTCGTTAGTTTCGTGGCGCTGCTCTCGGCGATCAGTGCGGGACTATACATGTGGCGCGAGATCCCTGTGATAATTCTCTTTATCATCGGGTCCGGGACCCTTCCCTATTACTGGGGACTTCCCTGGCTTTTG